TAATTTAGCAAAAACTTAGTTTTTTCTCTTGGAGTGAATTTTAGGCGGTAAAGCCATAAAAAATATATATTATATGAAATATGATTTTTAAACATAGTACTTTAACTGAGATATAGTGTTTTCTGTTTCTATCCCGGTTTTGCTCCGGTTTACTGATGAATTGTCTTTTAGGTTTTTATTTCTCTTGAGGTTTAATTTATTATTATTATTTATTCCCTTATTATTCCCTTGCATAATGGTATCTTAAGGTAGTTTTTTTTTTTTTGGTTCGAACAAATTCGTTTCCCTACCTAATCTTTGTTTTTAGTTTGTGTCAAGTTTTATCCATGCCGGAGGTGGCAGTTCAGACTGGTCATTCGACTCCCAATCCCTTGGATTCAGGCTCCCTTTCCCATTCCTTCTATGCACCTGAGGGTGCTGTCTTTGGCCTTCAAAAAGCGCCCTTTTTTTCCGCCTTCACGCGGCCTAGTCTCGAGGAACGTCGTCGGCGTATGCGACTGCGCTATGACCTGGCGAGTCGCTCTCTTTCTTGGGGCCTTGTGGTGGAGCCCTATTTGACCCCGCTGATGGCGGTCAACATCGTCCTGGGCGAGCTTGGGGCGGCCCCAATCACCTCTGATGAGGCCCGTGTCGCTATCGATCGGGTCGTCAACTACTACGCGAGGGAGGTCCGCTCTCCCTCGCCCTGCGAAGGGGCCAGGAGAAGACGAAGAAAAGAAAAAGGGGAGGGCGAGCAGGGGGTGGTCCCGAGCTCGCAGGGGTCAATTTTGTCCACCCTCAATGCGTCACAGGTGATGACAACGCAACGGCGCGGCGAGTGGGAGAGCCGGGCTGCGATCCTGCAGGACGCTCTCCTTGTGGAGGTGCTGAGGGAGCTCTGCGCGTCGCCACGGAGGGGCTGCGCGCTGAAAGTGAGCCGCATGCCCGACCGCGAGGTCCGCCGGATGCGCGGCAAACGACGCCTTGGGCTCATCGATGTCCTGCCGCAGCGTCGCGCTGTTCTGCTCGCCGACCGCTGCGACCCCTCTTTTGCGCTGATCTATGGTGTTGTCGGCGGTCCGCCGCGGACCGCCAAATCCAGATTTCACATGTCAAACTCGACTTTCTCGAACAATGCGGATGAACACCCCAACGACGTGTCTGATGGTATCACATACATGCAGGTGCTCGCCGTTGCGCACCATCCAGTTCCATGGCGACGGATTATTAAGACGCACTTTCCCTCTTTTTCAGCGAAAGAGCTCGCCGTCGCGTTTATCGAGAAGGTTGATAAGGTGAATGACGGGGAGGCGGAGAATGCCGTGGTGCCCAGTCGTCAGTCCTCCACACAACCAATTCTTCTGGGCGAGTGGGAGGACTCCAGCAGCCTAGCCAACCACCTCAAGGAGGGAGAAGTTCACGTAAATCAATACAACAATAGAGAAATAAACTCACAAGGAAATAAAGGCGGTGCCAAATCGAGAGGTATGGATATATCAACATTTACAGTTAAGGATCATGATGTGGAAAAGGTTCAGCGCGACGCAGATGGATTATTCTTTCAATCTTCAGCCTCCTCTTCTTATTGTGAGAGTGAGTCAAGTGAGATTGAAAGCGTAGGAGCAACTAACGTCATACCGAAAACTAGCCTTTCGAGAACAGCTCAACCATTTTTTACGAGAGAAAATACTATTTCAAATGACCCGTTACTCTCCATTCCACATACCGGTAATCAGGGGTACCAACTTGGTCGGGGAAAGCGGCACTGGCTGGAGCGTTTTCTTCCCAAAAAATATTTAAATGGGTCAGGATCACTATTTTCGGATATGCGTCATTTTTCGGCCAACGATGATCAATATACTGAAGTTATCTAAGAAATTCGCATTGGCTTGTGACGTTTTTTTTTTTAAGTGTGACTCTATGCCTCCCTTCTTTTCTTTTGAGTACTAAAATAATTATTAAATATGTTTTTTAATTATTTTCCATGCTGTACTTTTTTTTCTTTTAACCTTGATGTAAAAATGTGGTATTATATATTTTTTCCTTTCCTTCATAACTTTTCTATATAATACTTGTCCAAGGAATGCAACAAGGCTATATGCAAAGATATAACTAAGTGCTGTACAAGGCATGGTGAACGTGCGATTTCCAGCGGTTGGCGGCCATGTAGGGTCGATCTTTTACGGCGAAAACACCGCTGAAGGTTACACAACGCTACAAAAGTCCACCACCGCATGGGAGATAATTTATTATATTGGCATGTATTTCTCCAAGCAGTTGCTATTGCGGCCGATTATTTGCGATATTTCTTCATCTTTTTTGCGCTCGATGGAGGGGCTAAAACTGTTTACCCCTCGTTTCTTCGCCGCGCGCGTTCCTGAAGCCTGGGCTCCGCGCTCGGATGCGCTACGGCGTGAAATCGAGAGGCTTGGTGGGATGCAGTTGATAACGCGTGTGTGGCTAAAGGCGTCAGACGAAGCGCTGGAGGAGTTGTGGATTTTTCTTTTTCTTGAGTTATTTGAGGGGTCCTCGTGCGTGCGGGGGTGGAGCGAGGCATATGATCAGACGCGATGGGGCCTTAGTCTCGTAGATGAAACATCAAGTGCCCAGGAGCCTGCGGTGATGGATGTCAAAATTGGCACTTTACGATACTCTCCTCACACACCTAAAGAAAAGGTAACGAGGATTGATCGCAAGGAGGAGGGTGCGCTCTGCCGTAAAGTCGCTCTGCGGCTGTGTGGATTTCGACGTTTTATCCACCCCAGCCCACCGGATGCTTTGCATACTCCAACAAAAGTTGAGGAGTTGGAGAAGCAATTCGGCTTTAGCATGCGTGAAGATGAGCTTTCTGCGGTACTACGCTGCTTCCCATCAACGGTGGTTGGTCTACTCGAGGGGAAATCTACCACTGGTGTACCGCGGTGCCCTCATCACGTGTTTGTAAAGGACTGCCTGAACAGTATTACGCAGGATCGACGGAGCGCCATGCAAGAAGTGGTTGAGGGCCTCCTTTATTTTTTTCAGGAAACTACTGAGGGGCAGTATTTAATCAACGTCATGGCCTTTGTTTCGACGAGCTTATTATTTCTGTACGACGCCGCAGGGGGTGCCAAAACGGTAAAGGTATGTTTGATAGATTTTTCTCGCTCAAGCTGTCGGCACTTGAACTACGACGAGGAAACTATTGGGTTTATTAAAGGGCTTCAGAACATGGTGCAATATCTAAACATACCTGTCTGCCCACCTAAAGATTCGATTCAACCTGACAAAAAGGATGGATCATAATGGTATCCTTCTGAAAATATCCTAGACGCGCCATGTGTGTGTGGGGGGTCATCTTATATCTTTACCTTCTCCAATTTAAAGCGTGAGGAACGGCTAGACTCATTCGGTATACCACGTGTATATTATTGATTTCTAAACATTTATTCAAAATATTGATTTATTCTGGTCACAGTTCCGAAATATTTTCTCAAGCGTATAATTCAAACGTTAGAGAAGTATATTATGTTTATTTTACCTATGAAGACAAATTATAAGGGGATGTTCTTCAGGTTTTATTCTTTTCTTAGTTTCGATTATCAACTCTTTCTCCTTGTTTTCTATCACCGTGCGGGACCTAAGCCCCTGCGTATTTTTTATTCTTTGGGTAACTTGCTTTATTTTTCTTTATGAATTGTACCATAAAAAAAAAAATCAAAGGATACTTACCTTCAATAATTTGGACTACTATCCTTTATTGTCACTGGTTTTTACCCTTTCTATGAATTCCAAAGATAAAAGCCCGAAAAGACAGACTACCAAGGCCCCGATAGGGACAGTTTCCATCTCAGGGAGGCCTCTAGCGGTCTTGAAATGGGGTGCCTGGGGGCCCCCATCGGTGCTTCGGTTTCACCCTCCGCTCCTGCGCCCGCAGGTTCTTCCGAGACGCCAGAGCACCCATCCCGAGACCGCCGCCGCCTTTTCTTGCCCAATCCACTCCAGCAGGAGGATTCGTTGCGCCCTAAAAGGGGGTTCCACCACCCAACGAGGCCGCCGCGTTGATCTTTTGGGGGATCTTTTCGAGAATGGCCCAAAATCACTTCCACCTCCCCCTCGCCACGCGAACCGTCGTCGGGTTCGCGGGGAAAAGCAAGGCACTCCACGACCGCGTCGCGGCATTTTAAAAAAGGGTTTTTCCTGCCTCGCTAAGGATCAGGCATCGTCGAGCGGAATGGCGGCGGACAACCTCGCCGACAACCCTATTGATCCACCTCCTTCCCAAAGAAAGAACAGGGTGGGGGGGGAAAGTTTCGTGGAAATCTGTCGGTCGTGGTCAATTTCGAATGTTTCCGAGGAAACCTGTGAACCTATCGAGGTGATCTCATCGATTTCCCCTACGGATTTCGTGTTTTCGCGCGATTTGATCTCGGATGACATGGGCGGTTCTGTAATTTCGGCAGAAATCGGGGGATCTCTCCCTGTGGATGAGCGCAGCGAGGCGGGGACGCCTCCGCTCGACTCCCTGCCCGAGAACGCCGTCAACGAATACCATCGCCAAATATCTAACGCCCGCATTGATGATCGAACGTCTATTCTTTCCTTCAAAGGCAAAACGATGTTTTCTGCGTTTTCCGATCACACTGGCAGGCCCCTTAATTTTCTTCTTGGTGCGAGAATTCATGGATTTCCGTGGAGGGCCTTACCATTTGAGGGAAATTACACAGCCGCAATTGGGGATTTATTCGATGTTTTGTTAAAGAGAGATGAGGGGCGACCCTACGAAACGCGAACACCTAAACTATCGTGGCCTAGCACTGTGGACTCCAACGATTATTATGAGAAGCGTTTAGTACCTCTGCAGTACTCAATTTTATTCAGTTTGAGCGAATCCATAGGGCTTCCGTTATGTTTATTAGCTTCTGAGCAAGGTCTGACTTGAAGCTTTGGTTCCAAAATGTAAAACATCAGAGGAAGTTCTACTGGCTCTGTCCAGAGCTCTTCACTAAAGGGCATTCTTGCTCATTTTTTTCTTTTCCATCTATCCCAAGAGGGGGCTCGTTTCCAGGGGGAATCGATGGTGAATTTTGGTCGCTCGATCATGCCATAACACCTCCTATGATGCCACCCTCATCGCTTTCCGTGCGTGAACCATTAGAGGCCTCCATAATTATCAAATCGACGCTAAATAATTCTAAGAGGTCTACTACACGAGCGTTGGGAAAGCCATTTGATGGATGGGATACAGTTAGTACAGTCAATGTACAACATATGCTATAATATATATATTTTTTTAAATTCTTAAATTATGAGTTACTTTGTAAACCATTATGTCATCCGATATATGTTTACTTATATATATATATTATATACACACAATTCGTGCTTCGCCTTTTTGGCGATATCGCTCTGTTTTTAAAGTTTTTTTCTTTAATCTATTCACTTTTTAATAGATCAGCAATATTGATAACTTTTTTTTCATTGACTTATAGATTTGTTACAGTGTTACTCTTTTTCCTATTAATATTTAATTTCTCATTTTCCCTTTGATTTTTCTACCAAGTAAATTAGGAAAAAAAGATGTCTATTTCAACACATGAAATTGGCAAAACTACATCACTTTCAAACCGACTTGACGATGCCGTTGACGGCGTTTCCAAGGATCAAAGTTCAATAGAGGTATCTGAAGGAAAAAGCAACGACCAGGACGTGGCAAGTGAGCAACTTTCTGAAATTCCCTGCGTGCCCTGCCGAATAGACATCCCACAAAGTGATCTCCGTGAGATCATAACCATTGCCCAACGTGTCTATAATAACTTGGTTCTATTGCCCTCGCGAAAAACCTGGCGAAAAGGAGAAGGCGCCCGCAGGGAATTGGAGCGGGAGATCGAGCGCACCGCGATGCAGGATATTGCCGAGTCAATTAAGAAAGAGGTGGATCAGCAATTAGGAGGGTGCTGGCATGTTATTTATGGCCATGAGTTCGGATCCTATGTCACGCACAAGAGTTTATCTTTTTGCTACTTCCAGCTAAACGATGCAAATGTGATGGTGTGGCGTCAGGGCGGGTGAGGGAACACGGCAAAGGCAAATATTGCACAATACATAGATCTATTGACGTTCCTTCACTGAACTTCCCCCTTTCCTTTTTTTCTACATTTTATATTGTAATAAAACAATTTGTATATAGCTACGAACGCGAACAAGCACTAAATAAGTTAGTTCAATTACTGTAATAACACTGAATCTTAAAAATCAAACATTAGATGGAGACCTTACGGAAAAAAGGACTCATTTCTCTATTACTAATCTTTATATTTTCAAAAGGGTTTATTTTTTTTTGATCGGAAAGCAAGTAACTTGTACATTCCTTATTTGTGTTTTATATCTGAACCAACTTAGGGGCGAACGATTCCAAATGTTCTCTTGGTTTTCGAATGGACAATGATACCTTTGACGTAGCCCACTGTCTTCTCATTTCGCCGATCCAACTAAATCACAAAAATGTCTTTGACTGACAGAAGTCCAGCTTTCATGAAGTTATTGGCTTCATAGCAATCCTATTACAGTGATATAGGGAAGAGGCTTAGTGCCGTCGTGGTTCTTTTCTTTGAGTTGGTCGAGATAGCTTTTCGTTTTTTTTTTGTAGCACAAATGAGTTTATCCTCTCATAATCGCTTGGGGATCTCAAAAGTCTAAAGCAAGGTATGGGTTTAATTTTCTGTTTTATTACCTTAGATATTTTGGAATTTATCAAGAAACATCAAATGGTGATCAAATAAAATCTAATGACTTCCTTTCCCTACAAAAGTTTCACAATACTGCAGTGTTTTAGTAAATATTATATTGACTTCAAAGTTTTGATCAATACGTGAACGTTTTTTTGGTCTTATCCTCTATAATGCATTTGCAGCATTTTTTACATTCTGATTGTGGGGCCCATTGTATTTATTACCCAGTATTTTCACATTAGTAGTATCTCTGCCTTTGAGCGAATTATTTTCTATCAGATGTCAGGTTTTCAAACTGAATAAAGATTTGCTATAGAGTTGATAATCCTATTTCTCTTCTGTCATTATCATAATTTGTCATTGTTCTATACATGAGAGCATAAATTACTATTCTTTTGAATACAGTATGCAACACTGAAAAATGACACATTATGTTTGAAGCACAATATATGAGACTTTATTTTACTCTATTACGTGATACTTTTTCTTATTTGAGTTATTATTATAGTAAATTTCAAAAAAAAGAGAAATTTTTTTTTTACTCGTCTATATGCAAAATACAA